AGTATGTATCCACCAGCTTTGAAAACCAAGACATTCCAGTTGCAAGGTGAGCTCACAGACCATTCGGCCATTGAAACTTAACCCAGTGGCCAAAGAACTCGAACTTTGGTCCGTGTGTACTGCTGAAGATTCCCAGTGTATGATGGAACAGCTATCCAGTACTTCCTGGTTTTCCCAGGTGTTTGTAACCATTTACAATAAAACAGTACTGTTAAAAAACGAGGCACACACGTCGTATGGCTACCTCAGTTTGCCTAAGGGCAATCTAACGTGTCATTAAGTGAAAATAAAGGCCTTATTCAAAAACACACCATTGCCTTAGTATTCCATAATTTTAATCCTGGACTGCTGTGTGAAACGATTCACAAATCATTTGATATAACAGTAAATGTGTATACCAATGGAATTCTTCATCTTTTAATTTCCTGTTGATTGGATTTGTTTTTAAAACGGGATTCTCTGCCTCTGTTTTCATTCTGATTCCATATACAGATGCTTAGATGATGCACATGTGTTAACATGATGTCGTTTGGTTGACAATTGTTTGTTGCATGAAACGATGGGTGCTTGGGTTGAATCTCATTTCATAATAACTCACTGAGGATACACTTACATCCGCCAGACGAGTGGGACAAAATATGCTTCCTAGATTCCACTGGTAATCATGATCGGGGGCGTATATGTGGCTGTTCTAAGTGGTAACTATTCGGACTGATCAGATACACAAATAATCCAGTTACAACTGAAAATAGGTTTCATTGTTTAGGCGTAGTTACTTTCTGATATTGTCTCTTCTTAATAAGTATATCCTGAAGGTGATTTCATCTGATTATTAATAATTTTGATAAATACACTAAATGCTAGATTTTGTCATGAACCATCATCATTTAGAGAGGGCTTGGTCTCATAACCTGAAGGTCCCGAGTTCAATCCCTGGTGGTAGTGAGTGCGCACTGATGAGTAATCTTAAAATAGGACAAATAGCTGTCCAGTGTCCCTGGTTTCATTATCTCTAAACTGATGACTTCTATTAATGATTAATTAGTCCAAATTCACAAATCCCACAATCTAGATAACTGATAATAATTGATGTCTTGCTAGGACGTTTAACTTGAACTTTCCATTTGTTTAAATGTAAATTAGAGGTTTATCAAATTAGCCCATTTAGTTTATCGATGACTACATACTTCTGCATGATTAGTATTCACTTGTTCATGTGTTCTATTGCCCTAAACTGCAGAGACCCATGGGTCCTCCCTATGCACGTGGGTCCAAACATACATGTAAATTGATAAACACACGGGAATATGACACTGTCATTCGGATTACAGACAGCATAGTTCTCGTTTTCTCTATGAAGATAAGTTTAGCTGGATAGTAAGTTCTATTAATTGCCTGCCGCCTTGAGTCTTGTTAGGGACCAGACTTCATTGATCACACATGAACGGCAAGGATATATAAACATCCTTTTTGGGAGTGAAGGTGACCATTTTCGCCAGATCGATGGTGTTGCTATAGGGAGCCCCCTAGGTCCATTGTTAGCTGATATACATATATATATCGCATGCTTAGAACCGAATGGAGGACGTAAATTGAAACGTTTATTAGTATAACAGATACGTGGAAGACATAATAGTCATTTGTAATAAACCAACAAACGCCATAGAAGTTCTAAGCCGGATCAATACAGTGCAAGGTAGCATTTCACTAACATACGTTAAAGAGAATAATGACTGCTTGCCATTTTTAGATTTACTCATAACCCGCCGACAAGATGGGTCAGTAAAACTATCTGTCTACAAAAAGTCTACTTGGACGGGACAACATCTAAATTATCACAGTTTCTGTCCACTACAGTATAAAAAGGTGTTGGTTAAGTGTTTGTTCAAACGCATTCACCGTATACGTACTGCCAACACACTGAAATATTGTTAGATAACAATTACCCCCTGAGATTCATTAAGTGTTACGGAAGTGTCAACCAAAGAGCTCCACCAGTCCAACCAGCTCCCAGAAGGTCTCTGCAGATTAGTGCTACAGAACTTATCTCAAAGTGGCTGCAACAAGAAATAGAATAGCCGGATACAAACGATCCCGGAAATAGATGTCCAACATCATCTATAGCGAAGCACATTATAAAGACGAGCCATAAAGTTGATTTCAGTTATGCCTTTAAACCCATATATAAAACAAGATTGGGTCACATACTTAAATTCGTTGAAGCCTTGGCCATAAAAAGACTTAAACCTGTCTTAGTTCAAAGTATTATTAACTGCGGTAATCCAATTTAGAACCAAGGATCAATTTACTTCATAATATTTTCAACTCCTTCTTTGTTTTTTTCTTTTTTACTTTCTTACCCACACCTTTGACCCATTATTCGTGACTTGACCTGTACACAATCTGACCTGTTTGCACCTGACCTATCTTAACACCAGATAAATTTTCGTTCGTCTTTTTTGCTTGTTTCTTTCTGAATTTATAATACTTGTTCTTAATATAATATAACATTGAATATTAGTCATAATTTGATGAAATCTAAAATAATTGTTAGGAAAAGTTAAGAAGATGATTGCAGCTAAGAAAATTTTGTTTTTGATGACATCACCAACTAGGCTACGCTGTCAAAAATACTACCCACCCTGTCTAGCTCTGCAAGAGAACATTTGTCAGCTCAGGAGACTCCATTACATTCGAAATATCCTTGAAAGTCCTATACAAGAACTGATCAGACCACTCAAAAGGAGTTAGACCCAGATACATGGGTATAGTTAAATCACTGACAATTCAAAGATTCAAGCCAACTCTACTGTATATTCAAAAACAAAATACATCCAACTTCTGTCTTTACCATGGCCATCATAAACAGTCGATTTCCTCAATAATTATTGTCCGGCTAAATTTCTTATCCAAACTTCCTTTTTCTTTTTCCCCCCAATAACGTTTTCAATCCCTATTTGTAATCTTCATATTCGTTATAATTTGACCCCTGGTAGGGAACATCTCTGGGACTTTCTAGTATCTTGACAACATATACACACATATTCAGCCTAGAAGATGACTTTGTTGAAAAGAAAATTCTCGTAGTTGTACCTGCCTTTTTAATTTTTCCCATTCTCTTATGTGTATACGCCACAATAAATTGTTATATTCTTAATGTAAAACCCAGCAATGTCTTTGAGTTGAAGACAGAAAAGACTGCCTGTTATCACCGATGACATTCCTGACTGTGGTGGACGGGACCATGCAACAGAACATGGGGAGCCAGAAGACAGTTATACGTTGATCTGACAGGAAGATTGTAACAGATTTGGACTTCGCAGATGATTTATGTTTACTGTCACACAAACTTGAAGATCTACAGGAGAAAACCAACAAGTTGCCAGACGGAGTGACATCGAAGGCAGGACTCCAAGTAAACATAGAGAGGTGATGAAGATGCCTAAGTAACATCCATAAGCATCAATCGCCATCAACAGAAGAAAGCTGAAGGAAGTAACCACTTTCACTTTTCTAGGCAGCACTGTTCCAGTTGTAAGTGACACAGATGAAAATGTCAAAGTTAAAATCGGAAGAGCAAGACAGACCTTAATCACTCTTAAATTAGTGTGAAAATATGCTACACTCAGTAAAAAGAACAAGACTTGGTTATTCAATACTGTTGCTTCTCTGCGACTCATAGATTTTGGCACGTGTGCCACCAGAAGCATTTTAAACAGGCTTCTCACTACTATTATCAGCTGCCCTGGCTCCGAAGCGAAGATTACACGGTCGACCAGAAAGGATTAGCACGAATGCACTTTAATAAAGAACGAAATAAGAACCCATAGCATGAAAAATATGCAGAAGTAAGTGGAGATGAACTAGACACAAGTTCTGAATGCTGAGTAACACCATACACTAAGCCGGCCCTTCAGTAGAACCCTAATGGTAAGGGAAGAGTTGGGTATGGGTTCTAGGCTAACACTGGAATAGATCGTATGGGGAAGAAATGAAGTCATAAAGGACTTTAGATAACAGGATTAAATGGAGATGTACTTCTGAAGCAATTAGATTCTACCTAGAACCTAAAGGATGTGCGTCAGTGGTACAGCGGTTAGGACGCTCGCCGACCACGCACATGGTCCGGGGCTCGATCCCTGGCTGATGCACTCTACAACCTCACTAAGCCAGTAATAAAAGTTGGTAAGGAGGAAAGGTTGGGCATGAGCCTAGCAGTCCCATCCTGTAAAAATAAACACTGTTACAGAAACTTCAAGCCTTTAGCTTGAAGCCCTATGTTCCATTGGGTAACGTGAAGGAATAAAAAAAGAACCTAAAGGAATAATGTTAATGTAACTGACAGGCCTAAGAAATAATCAAATCTTAGGTTACTCATTAATTTCAGTGTGTACTATTCCCCTTTTCGAAATGATTTTTCCGTTTGTTTTCTTGGTCTTAAATGAAGGTGACCCTAAAGTTTCCCTGCACAAGAGAAAATCAGTTGAAAGCCATTTACTAGTTTAGTTTAGTTACTTTCTAAACATATTACTTGGTGATTGACTAATTCTAAGACTATGCTATCATGATGCATCTTGTTTTATTTTCACAATACTGGCGTCTTAAAATTATTGTTTTTTCCTTTGCCCTCCAAATAGAACATAAGTCTTCAAACCTGAGCTTGTAAGATTCGGTGGCGGTGGCGGTGGTTCTTCTTATTTTTGCTCTTACTACCGATTTAGTGAAGTTTAGGAGTGCGTTTACTGGGAACTGAACCCCGGACCACATGTGTGGTTAGAAAACCCTATACCTCGGAACCAGAGATGTACCCTGTCTTGGAATAAAACCAGCCACTACTTTCACACTAAGTAATAGCACCTAAATCAAAAGTTGATAAATAATAATTAATAATAATAATAATAACCACCCTTCACGAAACCGGAGAAATGCTAGTACATTATGAAAAGTAAAACTACAGCTGATATAATATAATAGAAAATAATTATAATTTTATTTTTATACTTTGTTAAGAGTTTGGTTTACTTTCTGTCCTATCTGTACATCCACAACTGCATTCCATTACAATCGGTAAGTGTATCCGATACCAATTACAACTAGAAATTGGCCAACTTTCTGGACAAATATAACGCAATAGTACTATATCCTTAGCACTTTTCTCCTGACAATACATTCCAGGTGGAAATGAACAGGATATATCGGCTATATTGACGCATTTTCCAGCTTTAATCCAACGTGGCCAAAATTTCGGTCCCCAATCATACCATATATAGTATAGTGGACAACTAATGAAATCATTTAAAAATTCTCGAAGTATACGTCGTAGTTTCTTGTTTCGCTTTAATTGTTTACTACTCCGTTGTAGGTGTTCTGAATCGACATACATCAGTCTTTCATGAAATTCATTTTTTTCCTCTTTCTCTTCTTCTTTCAGACTTTGAATCAATTTTAAACGATGCATAGCATTTTGAAAGAGAGAATTTGAAGACATCTCTTGTTTACTTTCTCCTACTCCCCTTCTTTCATCATATAGATGATCATTATAGATATCTGAAGTAAAATAACGTCTGTGTGATGGTAATTTTCTTGATCGTCTATTTCTTCGACGATTCACCATTGTCTCAAATCTCTTGTCAGCGTTTTCCTTTACAAGATCTGAAGTTACCAGTCTACCGGATGGATAAATTATAGCTTCCCATGGTTTGTTAAATGACATAAATTCACTATCGAAATTATGTCTGCCTAGTAAACGCATCATTTCATTATGATTCAATAAAACCTCTTCATGAAATGGACGTTCATTTGGAATCGGCGGTATTTGATTCATCAGCGCGGATAATTGAATCCTGTGAAGCATTTCTTTATAACTTCTTAAATTCAATGACGATGCATATCTTGATTGTTGATGATCACCTCGCATTCTTCTAAAAGTATTCACATTTTCAGGTGTTTGAAGAGTATTATAACTCTGTAAATGTTTATTATTATTATTATGATTATTATGATTGAAGATATCGGAATTATTGAGTGCTCTCCAAGTTGCATTATTATTATCATCATTATTTGGTGAATAATATAAGACTGGTTTATGCATTTGACGAAAATGTTGATTTCGACTTTGAAATATCTGCCATAAATACGATGATATATTAACATTTTTCAATGATCTTGGATAACTCGACGATGTATCCCCACTGTTATCTTTTAAATCATTCATAATGTTGTAAGGCTGTTGAAATTGCATTCGACTGACACTTATATGCATTAAACATGTGATCAGTACTATATGAATATGAAGAGTATAGCTGGTCAATATTAGTTTATACTGTAGAAAGCACATTACTATACACTGTACACATTAACAAAAAAAAAACAGTAACAACAACAACAACAGCAGAAAGATATGTGCAGTACAAGTTGACCGTTTTGAGTTTGACTAACACTCGGCAATACTGTTAGACATTAAAATAGAATAAATTTCTCAACATAATTTTGGATGACACCAGAATAATTTTTGTAAAGCGTTTTTGCCTGTATAAAAATTTCACACCTTCACTTCGTCTAGATTACACGCACACACACACACACACATTGTATATAATAAATTAAATTTGACTATTTTGACAGTTTATATCAAGAAGGGACTATTGTGTTTGTGTGTGTGTGTAGTCAGTTCAGCATCGAATAGCCCTATCTTCCAATAGATTGTCTCAAACAAAATGGTGGGCTCTCCCTTCGGTAGAATTACTTCTGATGGATGGTGGTGACCTTGAGAAAAAGAATTCTCTCATGTGGTGAAATGGTTAGTAGTGAATACAACACGTATGTGAAAAGAAGAGGTGGGAGAGAGTTAGAATGGGGAGAGAGAGAGAGGGATGTTCTACAGCTGACCAATAGGCTAATGGCTTTTATGACATAAACTTTATTTTAATGCATAATTGCTTATCTTTCCCAAATACACACTAATATTAATAATAATAGTATTACGATGTGAATTTTTTTTTAAATAAGAAGCCTAACGTGAATGAACTGCAGTAAATTTCTCAATTAAATGATGACATAACTAATAAGTAGTTCAATGAAGTGTCTCTTTCCTGTGAATTCATTTTCTTTGGCTGTACAATCACATTTTCTCATGGAAGATGGTAGTAACAAAATTATGATTTGTTTTATAGATAAGAATATACATTCAAATCCTAAAAAACGTGACTTATCAACCGTGTCCAAGAAAATACTTTACATGAGCTTGGAATTCAAAGGGGACTTAGCTTCCGATATCATGAAACGAAGGATAACACAGTCCCTGAAAAGAACATTCCCTGCTGCATCTCTGGGAATAGCCTTTACTGTTCAGTAAACTGAAGGACAGGATCCCGCTGTGTGTTTATCAATTCACCTGCTGGTATGGAACTAGGTATATAGCTCGTTCGACACGAGTTTTGTCCAAGAGGGTGAGAGAACACTATCCTGCATGGTTACGAAAAGGTGGAAGTGGAGCAATAAAAAGCGCGATCATTGAACATCCGGTCGATAATGATCACCCAATCTCTATAGCCTCCGCCTTCAAAGTCATCCACAAGGCAAACAGTAATTTACCAAGATCACTACGTACCCGACTCATCTGTATCAGTGAAGCTTAGGCTATCGAAACAGAAAAGCCAGGTCTCTGTATGCGGGAAAACCTCGTTCAACCCCTCTAACTTCCATGGTCTTAATCCCTCTATGCTAAAGTATGGGAATCCCCAATCATACTTTAGCTCTACCAACTCTCCATTTTTTCATTTTTTCATTTTTTCTTTTCTGTCTATTCAATTTGTATACCCTTCCTTATTACGTCAATTGTTACTATTACTACTCTCACTTTTAATTGTCCCCGGTATTATTTCACTTGTTCCACTTATTATTCTAAATCAATTCCTTTTAACAACATTAAATTCTATGCTATTAAATTTCACACAACATTACGTAACGTTTTTATTTTATTCGATTTGTCTACTAATCTTATAATTGCACACCCTTTTCAAGTTCTATCCATCCTATGAATTATTCTATATATGACATTAATTTGCTTTGCCACTTGAGATTTAACTACGATTATAATCACAAACATTTTAGTTTTAATTGCATTTCATATTATTATTATTATTGTTCTTTATGCATTCACACCTGTGTTTCAATTCCCTCACCGGATATAACTTCTTAAAAAAACCATATATATACGATTGTACAGCTTGATGATAAATTCGTTGAAAAGAGTCTCTTCGCTGAATATTGTGTTCTTAATTTCCTAAATGTTACAATGGGAATTTAGAAAATCAAAACAAATGATTCAGCGAAGAGACTCTTTTCAACGAATTTATCATCAAGCTGTACAATCGTATATATATGGTTTTTTTAAGAAGTTATATCCGGTGAGGGAATTGAAACATAGGTGTGAATGCATGAAATAATAATAATATGAAGTGGGAATTATCCATGAGTGACAAAATTGGCGAGTTGACTTAGTTATAGATGTTAAGGCAAGTCAATACATAAGAGGGGTTGAATAAATACATTATATAACAAGATGAAGGATTTTAAGGAGTTTTTTAAGGAGTGAATTATAATTGAGATGCACGTAGAAACGCAGGAAGATGAGGGATTATGAAAGACTTCTAGACAAATACAGAAAAAATAAAGACTTAGAAAAACAAGCACACAAAAATCAAGTTAATAGAAAGTGGATTATCCTTGGCAGGTTATTCTTCATTTTGCAGATTACTTTGAAGGAAACCAAAGGAAGTGATTCAGCGAAGAGACTCTCTTCAACGAATTCATTACCAAACTCTACAATCATATGTATATATTTTTACGAGTTTATAACGGACTGATATCAGTTAGAGAAATATTGAAAACCAACCAGGGAGTACTGGGCAGCTGTTTCATCATAGTTTGGGAATCATCATCAGTACGCACCCACCACCAGAGTTCGAACCCAGGACTTTCCTGTGGGAAGGCGAGCTAACCAGTATACCTTTACAGCCACTGAGACACGATTCGGCGGCCAACCACTGAATTCTAACTTCTACCAATTCGTGATTTAGCGCGACCACCAACTAATGTCATCGGCGGTACATCCATCATCACACCTGACTGGTTGGACCTCACTGGTTACGACTTCCCACAAGATTTCCAGGAAACTCTATCCTGTAGCAGGTCACTAACGAGCATCAGATAAATTTTCTATAGTTGGTTTGTAAGGGTAGAAGTTAGAAATCATGAGCCATTGAATTGGGACCCAGTGGTTGAATGGTATACGGGGTTGCCTTGTAACCGGAATGTCCTGGGTTCCAATCCCAGTGGGTGCGTACTGCTGAAGAGTCCCAAACTAGGACGAAACAGCTGTCCAGTACTCCCAGGTTTTCCAATGGTTCTCTAACTGATGTCAGCTCATGATGAAATCCTGTAATAAATCAAAAATATTGTTAAATGTCAAGTGCCAATATAATTAATGTCACATTTATATGTAACAATTCCTGGGATGCTTATTTATTTACTTATTTTTGATTATAGCTTGATTCCACACCGTATTATTGGTACAAGCATGGAATTTTCAGCATGTGATATCGGTAGCCCAAACTTTGCAGGCCGACCATTGATATCAAGTATGCGTCAGCAGGGGATCAAATCCCCTACCATGTGGATGGTTGGCGAGAGTCCTAATCGCTGTGCCACCGATGAACAGTGTGGAAAGGGTGTAAAATTATAGGATTGTTAGGCAAATAAAATCAAAATAACGTTACGTAACATTGTGCGAAACCTGACAACATAGGATTCAACGTTGCAAAAACATTGATTTAGGATGACAAGTACGACTTGTGAAATAATACCGGGGACAATTTAAAGTGAGCATAGTAATACGAACAACTGACGTTATAAAGGAGGAGTATGCAAACTGAATAAATAAAAAGAAAGTTTAACAGAGCCACAATATGAATGCGGATTATCATACTTTGCCATAGAGGGATCAAGACGATGAAAGTTAAATCGAATCGTTTTGGAAATTTCCTGATAGTCCTGAGAGATACGTGTTCAGCCAATCATCTTTATCCCTATGTAAATTGAAATTGAAAGTCGAGACAATGGGTTCAAAGTTTTGTGATGTTAATCTCAGTGTCAGCTAGCTTCGCACGTTTGTTCAGTCTGAGAATCTACCTAGCCAAACCTATGCTCTAATGTCATGGTTTCACCAAGATTTTCAATGCTTCAAATCTACCATCAATGATTCTTGCAATCAAATATGTTGAAGACAGCAAGTTTAATATAGGGATTCCCACTACAGATTCGAAAAACCAACTTCTGAGATGTACAGTGAATGTACAATTTAATTTCAGTGAAAAAATTTACAGACAGAAAGGTAATATTGAAATGGTTTTTCTGTTGGGGCATCTCCTGGCAAACTCTTTCATGACCAGTCTAGAAAATCAACAGCTGAAGTCAGCAATTCAAAGTTTTCATTTAAAAACTTTGAACCTACAGACACGGCTTTCAATTTCAATTTACATAGGGATAAAGCAGAGTGGCTGAACACGTATCTCTCAGGACTATCAGGAAATTTCCAAAACGATTCGGTCTAACTTTCACGGTCTTAATCCGTCTGTGGCAAAGTATGATAATCGCCATTCATTTTTGGCTCTGTTTAATTTTCTTTTTATTTATTCAGTTTGCATACTCCTCCCTTATTACGTCAATTGTTCCTATTACTATTCTCACTTTGAATTGTCCCCGGTATTATTTCACAAATCGTACTTGTCATTCTAAATCAATGTTTTTGCAACGTTGAATACTATGTTGTCAGATTTCGCACAATGTTACGTAACGTTTTGATTTTGAATTTATTTACCTAACAATCCTATAATTGCACACCCCTTTCCAACATCTATACATCCTATGAATCGTTTTATATATGACGTTATTTGTTTTGCCACTTGACACTTGATATTTAACAATTTTTTATTTAATTGTGTTCTCTGAGCTGGATGGTTTGTTTGCGAAGCTTCCACTGGCCTACCAGACAGTATCTATGATTGTAATCACAGGCAATTTAATTGTATTTCACACTACTATTATTGTTTTATGTATTCGCACCTTTGATTCAGTTCCCTCAGTGGAAATAATTTCTTAAAATACTAAACATATATATGATTGTACAGTTTGGCAATGAATTCGCTGAAGAGAGTTTCTCCTCTGAATCACTCATCTTGATGAAGGCGTTTTTCAGGAAGTAATTATCAGTACTGTCAATGTGTTGAATCATCGCATTCCTCATACAGTCTCTGATGTGGCATACGGAATAGTGTTTCCGAACCCTTTCAGAGAGCAGATGCGTCGAACAGCCAATGTACCTGGCCTTACATGAGCACGTGAACTGGAAAATGAACATAGAAATGGTCCTTCAGGCTTCTGTAGACTAGTGGATGAAAGGAGAACACTACTGTTGCCTTCACTACGA